CAGCTTCGATTTTTCTAAGAATGCTCATGTGGACGTACTTAATTGATTGCTTCCACCTAGAAATAAAATATCAGCTATTGAACTTGTTGCTTCACAAATTAGGAATTGACCTGTTCGTGACGGTGATGATAGCTTGGAGTTTGCCAACCGAGGAGAGAACTGCCTGTTCCAAAGCACATTCAATGAAAATACTTCGGCCCCTGTAGCAATGAAGCTTTTTGTACGAACTAAATCAGACGTGAAGTACACTCACTTAGTTAGTGGAAAATTCTTCGAGTGAACGACGCTTTGACTCCCGAGGGGACGTGCTATCATTTGTGGAGCAACGACTGTTACAGCGTGTTCATGTTGCAGGAGTATCTCGTCTTGTAAATATAATGTCACCTGAATTGTGAAAAGAATCGAAAATCTTTACTATTACATAACATAACTAACAAGCATAACTTCAATCAACGTTGCAAGGCCCCCAGCAAGCAAATCCCTTTGCTAATTTTGATAGCCAGTGTTGAGTCATGAATTCCAATGGCACACAAGAAAAAGCTGTTGAAAAAAAGTACAGCATAAAAAAGGATTTGAGTGCAGATCTTCACCATTGCAGGTTTTCTTAAACTCTGCCAGTCGGTTTGTTGTTCAGTTGTGTTCCACCTATAGACGTCACGTGCCGCGCAAGTCCTGCCGAGCGAGATTTGGAAAAACAACATCGCTTGACAATTCGCAAGGTAATATCCGTGGCTTGGGAGAAATCGGATGCGAATTTGTCCATCCTGCGATCATATTCCACGATTTCCATACCGATGTTACTTTGGGGAATGCTCTGCATGACCATCCCTCGAAAGGCTTGTTATGACTGTGCATCACCTCCTACAACTTCAAAACCCCTCCCCCTATTTCGCTATGGTTTCCGCAAAGAAAATTTTAAGGCTGCACCTGCCATTGTCCCACGCGGCAGGCTGAGCGGCACTCACCGGTGGGTGCCACTGTCGTCAAAGTGGTTAATGTCCGAGCTACAAAATAAGTGCAATAGTTTCCTTTTCTGCTGGGAGATTCTCAGAATCACCTTGCGCAATCCAGTAAGCGAAAAGCAAACACATAAGAACTCAGGAAGTAACGAGGGTCCTGGCCAACGTTCACTGAGGCTAATATTTTCCTGCATATGCCATTTTTCGAGCTTTCTACGATAACAACGCCTACACGTGGTTTACTGACCAGCCAGGCTCTCCCTGTTTCCGGTGCAATGTTATATAGCTTCCGGAGCTTCCGGCTGAACACCGACAACGGTAACGTGATCGTGATGTATTCCACGCAGTTCAATTACGTCACCTCCATTACAAAGTTTCTACCTTGTTTTCGTGTTCGCCGAGTTGTTTGTCACAAGGTTTACTACTACAGCGATCACTGTACAGATCTGTTCTGCAGACTTTCTTTTTAAACATTCATTTTGCACTTCAAAACAGTTCTTCTTCAGGTCCCCCTTCTCGCAAATCCGATGATTGACGCATTAAACACAGAAACACCTTATCAAATTAAAAACTGGTTTCTCCTTCCAGTTTTAATTGTGCTTCAAGATCTCAATGTGTCTTCCCTAAGAAGGAGTATCTCCGTCACAAAGACGTACCATAAAAAAAGCGCGAGAAGAGGAAGTTCTGAACGAGAGAGGAAAGAAAAAGGAGAACCGGCGGGAACTGCGAAAACATAATGAATCAGTTCTGAAAGGCAGTCAGTCGTTCGCACACTGTCCGGAGAGAGAGTTTCAGTCGTAGTAGAGTGAGCAGAGAACAGATTTTTACAGAGAGCATAACTCTATGACGAAATGATGAGTACCTTGTATTGTGAGAGATTGTCGCGTACCGTCTGTTAGAGAGTGATGTACCGGTTTAGAACCACAGTCCATTACACAGTGTAACCAGTGAATAGTAGCTTGTCTAATGCTGTAGTTACGTCTGTAACGTTCCAGGATAATGTTCTCACATATGTTCTGTGTGCGCTCAACTCATTGCGGTGGCTCCCTAGAGTCTAACGACGCCAGTCTCGTGTGTGTGCGTGTGGGTGGGGTGTGGCACCCCGCGCTGTTACAATCTCTCTTTATGTTGCTTCCTGGTCGCAAGGCTGCGCACGTTTCGTGCTGTCTGTCGTCCTCCGCGCGATACGTGATGGCGACTGTGAGAGCAGCCGCCTTCATCTCCTCTTTAGCCATTAAATTCGGAAGTAGTACCTACTGCCCAAACACGACCATGATCCAAAACCATTGCAGCAATCCATTCATTGGGAACAGCCGTAGAAGTTCAGTCGCGGCCTACTCGCAGTGCACACTCTCACATTAGAACATGCCAAAGTTCACCGAAAAGTAACGGAATTTACTACCTTCTCGGGTGCATGACTATCTTGACGTGTATATGCCAGCCAGGTCAAGCGTCTAGTGTCCGCATTCCTATGGGTTTTCTACACGTCGTCTGAAGCGCAAGCCCTTTGGGTGCATGACTGAACCGCCGGAATGAGACTGTGAAGGTGGATAAGAAGCAACCAAGAACTTCAGTCGGGAAATGCCAATTAACGCTTCACCTCCAGTCAATGTCGGATTGTGGGTACGATTCGGCCTTCCGAAACAGGTATGGGGCGGGATCAAAGAACACAAAAACATTGCAGTCTAGACCGAGCGCGCGCGTCTATATGAACATGGTCACTGCTTATGCGCTTACATTATGGTAGGGTGGTGGGTAGGGTGCGTTGCAACGGAGGGTAAATGGTGAAGTATTTACGTAAAACTTAGCGCCCTGAACGCGCAATTTGTGCTACGAAGCTGGCATGATCCATGTAGATACGGACCCCCACAATTTCCAAAGTGGTATCCTTCCTACTAACCGGGCTATCCCGGGACTTGCTTTTATTTATATGCTAATCAGAAGACGAAAGCAGATAAGACGAAAACAAGGAATGAATCGAGGTGCCAAGTTCGTAGAAATAGTAGAAAACCTCTGCTAAACTGAAGTATATTTGACCATACGGCTAACCATGCCGCTGACCCTTATGTAATTGATTGATCCATGGATTGAGTATATACAATCTGGGAATAAGTCCGCGCAAGCGCGAGAAGAAGGATGACTTGGGTGGGATACGTTTATCAGGTATGTTGTCGTCACTGTGTTAGAGGCAGAGGCCGAGATTCTCGGGCCGAAATTAGGCCTTACCCCGAGCGGAATGTAGTTTTGCGCAAGCAGGAAGCACGAATACAAATGTTAGGATAATTGGAAAAGGGTGAAGCGCTAAGCGCTAGCTGCCTTAGGAATCTGAGACGGCGTTGATCTCGCCCAACACCGCTGACCACTCACAAATCAGTGCTGTTTTGCTTCTCCGCTAATTAGGAGGGGGACTGTCACTCACAAGCGCAATAACACATCAGATTGATCCCGGACTTGCACTTGCGTTTAATGTCACATTGGTAAAGGATGTCGTGACAACAACCACTCGTTGGTTGAGATTCTCGGGAACTCTCGCAAAATTATTGCACTTCTGCTGGTCTGCACCTATTGAAAGCTCCATCTTGTTTCCTAATTTTAAATTTTGCCAGGTCTGTATGGAACCACACAGTTCTTAGTTTAAGCGGTTGAGCGTTTCTACGGAAAGCTTCGATTTCTAAACAGCATCCAAATGTCAATAGTCTATAGTTAGAAACCGATAAATATAGAAACTCACAGTTATTGAGTACTTTACCACAACTGGGCTTGCTGGACAACTGAATGAGGTTGCGAGGTCGTAAGGCAGGTTGAATGCAAACCGGAATTGCGATTTACCCGTCAAATAACCTTTTTCACAGCGATTCTAAATGAAGATATTTGGCATCAACCATATCTCGACTTCTTCGAAACTCACTGCATTGTGGTCCAGTGTGGTCATGCCTAGCATTTCCTGTACGGTGCTGTAGTGCCAAAGCTCCTTCTGCTCATTGACGAACACCCGTTGATTGAAAAACGCGTAGGATTCCTTAAATGGGGATTGAGAAGATGAGTAACAGATGATGATCCGGAGGTGAGGAAGAGAGGACAATTTGGAAAAAGTGATATAACTGAGAGAAATTCAAACTTCTTCGTAATCATATGCCCTCCTAAGGGTCTGTAACGATTGATGGGTAGAAAAATTGAGCCGCTGACCTGACATTGGTCAGCAAGAATAAATTAAACCGAGAAGAAGCAGTGGTGCATTGTAGCAAACATTGTATATTATAATTAAAAAGAAATAGAGAAACGTTACCCTTCGAGCAAATTCAGCGGAAGCCCAGAAAGAAAGTGAGGGAGGAGAGTCACTGAATACAGCTCAAAGATCGTTATTCCACTATAGGAACGAAGACAAAGAAGGGGAAAAGGCCATGCCTAGTTGGGAGACAGGCGGACCTCCTGAGGGTGCGGACCGACGCGCAATTGGCAGCGAAAGATTTGACCTCGGCGATCTAGCATGGCTCACTCTTGGCGCAGTTGGCGCGGTACGCCCACCGACATAGCAGAGAGAGCGTTAGCGTTGAAGAGGGCACGATGAGAGTCGCATCAATGCGGAAATCAACGGGCAAGGAAGGGGTCCATTTCTCGGGTTCTGGGCCGTTTCTCATGGTTTTCCTTCTTTCTTGTACCACTCACCATCCTTAATTAATTTGAAATGGGTTGCCTTTTCAACGTATTAAAAATTCCGCCTTCAGAGGAAGATAGGGTAGCAGGATGGATAAGGAGGGTTACACCCACGCGGGCCTCCTACGAGTGTGAGACGATGCGCGCTGCAGCGAAGAGTATGTCCCAGCGGCCTACCAAGGTCGTACCCGCGCCGCTCACGCCTTTGCACACCTTCGATATGTAATTCCTCGTCCGTCTGATTCTAGCCGCTTGACGTAAGAGCGTTATCTTTGAAGAGGGTAGCACTGAAGACAGGCACATCGATGCGGAAATCAACGGGCAAAGGAGGGATCTCATTCTCTGGCTCTAGGGCGATTTTTCCTGTGTAATTTTCTCGTTTTAACGGTTATCTCAACATTCTCGCACTCTTCCTCACACAGAGCTAAAAATTCCCACAAAACATAACCCATATTTGGTGTGGAGAGAAGATACGTGCCAAATCCTCCTGCCCTTTGCTCCCTCTCATTTCTCCACCGTGGCGCCACTTTCGAAGATCTAGTTGATTTTTGGGTGCAAAAATGGGCCGAAGGTACTAAAACAGAATTATTCAGCTTTCCCCTGAACACCTCAGAGCACCCTTACAAATGTATTACTGGGTTTCATGAATTCGTAACCGTTAAGACAAATTGCTGCAAATCCCTTCTCATCGCGAGTAATTCAGTTTACTCCTCTTGCCTTGCTGTGTGATTCGCTCTATTTGCTTTGCTCTTTTTTCTTATAATTTGCGTTAACGGTTGCAGTAGAGAATAAACTGATCCATCGTGCTCTCTCAGAATCCTCACGTATCAAACATACACCGATTGCCCCTTCAATTTTGCCCCACGTGTACCAGAAGTAATACCTGAGCCATATCCAACTATTGTTTTGAGGCTGGAAATGATGTCATAGAGAGGGACGCAGAGATGACAAGGGAATAGATGGAGAGACAAGGACAGCTTTCAGACCCGGGCCATTGGAATAGGAGCCTATGTCATCTTCTCTCAATTACATATTTTCTGCTTCTTTCTCAGAATCCTCACGTGTCGACTCTACCCCGACCGTGCCTTCTATTTTGGGTCCAGGTATTATTTCTGGTACTTTGGGTAGGACGACGTAGACAGGGGCGGAAGTGGTGTAGTGGCAAGTGGCACGCTTACCACGCGAGCGGTCCGGGGATCAAATCCTGGGTCGTGAGTCGCCCGGGCCAACCAAGCCTTCCATCCCTCCGGGGTCGGTTAATTGGTACCAGACTTGTCTGGGAGGATAAAAACACTGACTTGTACATCGGCTGGCCCCCGCAAGTCATTGTATAGGCCACATCGCATTCAAACGCCACTACGAATGTACAAATGGAAGTAGAATGCGTGCCGCATCCCAAAAAGGGATTGATCAACGGCAAATGCTTTATCTTCATCCCTTCACTTTGGGTAGGCAAAATAGAATACGCAGTCGGGGTAGAGTCGATACGCGAAGATCCCACTAGTTTAGGAGCCGTTTCAGGCTCCTAAACCAGTGGGATCCCAAATACTGTACCTATCTGGGTGGCGCACATGCCATGTGATTAACTCTGGACGTTGCTTGAAATATTCCAGCGCACTTTGGTCAGGAATTTAGAGAAAACCATGTGACGGCAGCGTTCCGCATAATCTCCAGATGTTTTTATGCTTTTCCTCTCCATTACGTTCAAACATAAGTGTTGAACAACGGATAAATCTACCACATAAGCGCTTTTAGCGGACTTTTTCTCATCAAGGGGTTCAGCATTTCAACATTGGGTTGGTCGTTCTGTGAGCGCTCAGAGTTCGGCGAATCGTAAGGGTGAACTTGGCGATTTGATTATCCCCGGAACGTGTGCTCTGTCCCTGGCAACAGTGTAAAATAATGTTCGAAAAGTAGCGAAATTTAAATGGTCACGTACACAAGAAAAGTTCCAATCTGCGATACATTTTGGGGGGGGGGGGGGGATCCTAGTCTTCAAGCTTACCTTATTAACAAAATGCACAACTGCATCTCCATACAACCTTGCCTTAATGCTGTCGATAGCGATTGGTTTTCGTGTTGCAATGTTGACTGAGCCCTGAAAGAGATTTCGGTCAGAAACTTCACCCGGACAAAGAAAGACTCAAGTCTTCATGGCAATTAAACTTCAGATGTTTAGTTGATTGTCCTTTCGGGATGCTGATTTTATAACCCTCCAAAGTTAAAGGCACGAGTCAGGCTTAGTGGACCAAACCAATCCCTTTTGTCGTCTTTGTGCATGGCTACGCACCCACAGAGACGTTACCATGCTCAGAATCCCAAACGGCGCCGTAATAAGGCTCCAGGGCACGTATTAAGCGCTTTCGCCGCCTGGCGGCGCTCCGACCGCCCACCTCCGGAAGTGGTGCGTGGCTGGCATAACGTGTGAAATCAGCTAGGTTGATTGCCGTATCAACCGATAGAACGACTGACATCTCCAGAAAACTTGTTTGTACGTGCCTCTTTCCCAAGCCAGCCTCCTTCACTGCTAGTGGGAAAGAGGGTTTTGTTAACGGCCTTGTCGACGGTTTTTCTCAGTTTTTTCTCCACTGTCGTTCCACTTCGCATCTCTATACTCAGTTTCAATCGCCATAATACCCCCTTATTGAGCCCGACTTTTGCCTTTAACCTTCCTAAGCTCTACAAATTTTGATAGTCTGATCGGACATATGGTGTGGTTTCTCAGTCCTATATTACGAAGTATCACGTTAACGGCGCTTTTATGTACGTATGTATATGGAAGCGAGAAGAACTATGTAGAACGCCACAGTCGGTAGTGGTTTAGTGTCCCAGGCAATATATGGTAGGATCGGTTCTTTGATGAGTTTGACCCTTCCCTGTGGTCTTTTCGTCAGAAAAGTATGAACAGCTGTGACCACGTTACGTCATTATGTGCATGCCTTTCCTTGCAACAGGTAAAGTGGGACTGTTTATCAATCTACAGTCATTTGATGTCGCTAGTACATGGGGACTAGAGAGCAGCATCGTTTTGTGCAAATTACCAGAGAAAGGTGCTCAGGTCCCGGTCTTTTGAGGTTTTGAATAGCCTACTCAAATTCACAAAGGTGGGGATCCCGTTGCTGATGTAATGCGCGATGTCCGGCTTGAGTTGTATAGCCACGGTCTTCGCAGGAATGATGAGAGTGTTCGCAAGATCGACCTCAACATCAACTTTTGTGGAAAGCGCCCCAAGGGACGTCTATAGCTTGAAAAGCTGCATGTGAGCTTGCAGTAAAGTGGAAATCCATCCCGAACAGGGAAAGTTGCGTCACTGTACCAAAAAGCGGATCCCGCCATGATGCGGGACGCGCCGAAAAAGACGAAATGAAGCTAAAGATGAAATTCGCTGTTCAGCTTGCATGTGTACGAAACCTTCACATTGGTGTGAGCAAAACGAATAGAGGGCTTGGATGGCCCATGTAAGATTTCAGCCCACTCCTACGTTACGCACCATTCCAAAATTTGAAGTAATGGGCTAAAGTTTCTAAGTTTTTTTTCTTGGTTTTCTCCATGAACGTAAATGTGGTGGAGTAAACAGAATGCATGGATCCAACTTGTCAAACTTTTTTTTAGCCAGATTCTGCTATGTTCTCTAAATTATACAGGGTGGGTCGAAATTATGGAGTGGACTCCATCAAACCATCCTTTTACCAGATTTCTTCATTTTTGTCTTCCTTATGGGGCAAAGTATGTTAGGAAGCAATGTCTTCTTCCTATTGAAACCAAATGTTATGCAGTTTTCAGGATCAGAGAAACAATCACATCACGGGTATGCCAGCTATCAAATTGAACTCGCAATAGGTGTGGCACGTTGCATCCAGCTATGAGTCAGCGTAAAAAAAACACTTACGGGTAACTGAGGAAGGAAGAGCGAAACGAACCATTTAATTATTTCATTTATAATGGTTTTTTCTTTCTTAATTTGAACGCTTCAATAAGCTAGGAGTTACGCAAGAAGGAAATTCGAAGGTTACAGTTACTACCAGGACAAATATCCTATGCACAAACTCGCTCTTCCCCTTGCGGCTTTCGTACCGCCAAAAAAATTGATGTAAAAGACCACTTTAACACTTTTATGTTCCAATGTCATGTCACAGATGAGAAGCACTTACGTGCATTGATATTGGACATTTCTGCAGTAAAATCCGCCTAGTTAAAAAGCGAAAAAATTCCGCAAAGGGATTTTTGATTTTACAGACTTCGAACGACTTAGCCTACTCTCCTACCGGATTCAGCTGGATTTTCTGCACGATAATTCTTGAAGGGAGTACAAAATGAAACCCTGAAAAATTCCGAAATTCCATGCACCCAGTAGCGGCGCAACTTCCTTCTGCCCTACCTTCTTACGTGAATTGGTTGACCGTATGGGCTTTGTCCCACCCACCTTTTCCCCGCTCTCAGGCCTTGCTATGCTTTTAACTTTTTCACACCAATTTTTACCTCTTTTTACTTCAACTTTTTTACTTTAACTTTTAACTTTACTTTAACTTTAACTTTTTTCTATTTCCCTTACTAGACGAACCCCAGCAGAAGTTGAGACTCGACGAGTTTTCAAGACTCAGCACGCGATGGGCGCTGAGCTCTCCGAAATAGCAAGAGGGAAATGGCTTTACTGTCATCAGCTGACGGTGTTTGTTATTACTGTCATGTGTTGCTTGCTGGTCGTGGAGAAAAATATTTTGAACGAGCAAACTTGACCTTTTCTGTTTGTGCCTGAATCCATAAAAACCCACCGTGAGTATCTGACCAGGAGTATAGACGTCTTTGTCGGTGCAAATCTCTACGCCAACAGAATCCATTGGGTCAATAAAACACTGAAAGCTGATGTCAATAGAAATGTAGAAGGTGTTCCAAAAGTACTCACATACCAGAATTTAATCCACTTTACCAGAACTACAATAGTTGAACTTTAATGATGAGCAGTACTCCGCAAACTCGCTACGAACATGCGGCAGGACTACGAAATCTGAAAGGATTTATTAGAGGTTTGTGATAAATATACCTTACTGACGAATACGGTGACGAGAGTATCCATGCTGTGTCAACGATAGTTCATGGTTGGACTTTTATCAGGGATCCTGGACATTTCTTCTGTACCCCTTCCTACACCCCCCGTGTCTTCCCCCGATAACCCCGAAAAAAGGGAAAAAATAAAACATTCTATGGCTTCTCCCACCCCGCTTACGCCAACATAATTCACAGAAACGGAATCTTATGGTCAGCACCTATCTCCCATGGTTCAGTCCTTTGACCATGCGTACGATGAGACGCTTTTTGCTACCCTATGTTGCCATTGGCAGAAAGGCAACCGAAATGGTGTGTGTGTTGTGTGTGTGACTCGATGTTTTAAGTACTGACGCTGTACGACAGAAGGTTTTCAGTTGCCGTAAATTCTGCATGTTTACCACAGGAAAGCTCGCCTAAATGGCGCAATTTTGCCTTGATCGGGAGAAGTAGCATGCACAACAAGAATGAACGTCACCCGTGCCTGCGTTCCGAATCAGAGTCAAAAGTAGAGGTCTGACATGAGAAGAAAGAGACAGGGAGGTTAAAAACGCAAAATTCAGATAAAATAGAGAATAGTAGAGAAATGTGAAGGGGGGTGACTTGCACAAGAAGAATTCCTTCGTCCTTATGCTTTCCCCAATGCGATGTTTGCCAATTTTGGCCCGTACCCTACTTTTCACTCATCACAAAGTCAGCTCTGTAGGATCTTGAGCGCTCTTGAGCTTTGTAGGTTAAGCAAGAAAAACATATGTTCTTCAAAAAATTAATACGGTGTTGAGGCTCACATAGGCTCGAAGCGGCTTGAGAGAGACAGACACAAGAGAGTAACGCTTCACATCATCACTGGAAATCCGCAAAAACGTTTCAGCCTTTGTTGAGTTCTTCAATAGAACCCTAAGAACAAGTGGTAGATACTGCCGATCAAAAAGGTGACATAATCACTGCACGAGAAGATTCATCAATCTGGAAAGATCAGCCGACATGGGAAAGTTTTTCAAGCGCCTGTTGCTCTGAAAGATGGGAAGACATGGACGTGCTGCACTGTTTAATATGTACGAAGGTGAAGGCAGGCAGGGCTGTTATTCCCTTTTTTACGAATAAGACACCGTTTTCGTGCTTCGTGCATATCTTAGCGTTCAATAAAAATCACCAGACGGTTGCTTTCCGAACGAGATTTGAAAACTGCTTGTAGGGAGGGAGGAGGGGTCCGAGCGAGACGAAACTGATGGCTTTTGTCTCCTTTTTTATATCTTTTTTTTATGTTGTTATTTTTTTTTTCTTTTCTGTTTTTGTGTGTTTGTTTGTTTTTTGAGATTTTTTTTCTTTTTTTTTTTTGATGTCTGAAAGGGTTCATTTGTGGATTAGACTGATTTTAAACATTTGATAGAGTCGAATTATTAGTGGCCCAACAAAACATAACTGCTGTCAAGCTCTGACATAAGGAGGTCCAAGCAACAAAAGAATAAACAAAGAATAAACCCACTGCAGTGAATTCTTTGCTGTGGCTCTACAAACATAAACAACAGTAGCGAAACAACACGAAATGCCAAGAGTAAGTGAAAGTCGAAGTTATTGGGTTGAGTCACAAGTCCGAGTTTGTCAAACCCTTGCCATTCTTGCCATAATGGGTTGGTGCCCTTCCCACCAGTGCGTTGCATAGAGACCCTTACCTTCCTTACTAAGGAACTGAATGCCTCCCAACCAGTACTGATGCCGTCCGTTGCAAGGCATCAAAGCTGGTTGGAGGCAAGGCTTTCCACTGCAGAATTCACGATTGCATTCACGAGCCACTCAATGAGAGGAGCTTGTCGAAAGATATGTAGCACTATAGGAAGTGACCACAGCAAAAGGACCCATCAATATTGGCTCCGAGAACTTCGAGGGGGCAGTTGCAACTTTGGAGGCCAATAAATTCTTCTGGAACTGCATGTGCTTCTTGAGCTATTTTCATTATGCCACTATGGAAGCAGTGGTTCCAGACCGGCACAGTTTGCTGCTTTGACTCATCGATTCTCAAATATCGGTATCGGAACGGACGATACTTATCACTCAATCTAATAGATGCCCACATCTGTTTCACGGGTGAACAGTTCCTGTAGCAAGAAAAGAAATCAGGGGCAGGCATGAAATTGGTGGTACCACCTACAGCCAAATATGAGCTTCGAGCTTTCATTGTGATATCATGCACAAATGAAGTCAAGGATGGAACAATTTTAGGAACCATATTAAGGATTATGGCAGATGGTTGGTTAGCCATTCATGGCACAGGAGAAATAAGATGACTAAGACGAAGGAAATGTGGGGTCAAAAACGGAAGATAGTTTCATCCCCAATTAAAAATATAGAGGAAGAAAAGTGGTGAGCTCCAAGCGAAAGAAATGTTCTGAGTGAAGATAGGTTATGGAAAATGAAAGGTGATCTAAGCCGAACTTTGGCACGGTCCAGTTTAACGGAACGAACAACAGGCCCGAGACATCCGCAAGTGAAAGTGCTCACTGGACTGAATGAACGAGGACCATCAAAATTCACTTGCCGACCCGGACGATCCAAATCTGCGGTTTCGCCGTTAATTTATGCGATTCATGGCGATGTATGAAGTATTAAAGTACGATACGGGTAGGGCAATGCACTACTGTGATACTCAGGGTCAATCAACAACGAATGGAACCGGGGGCCGAAAAGAAAAGATAACCATGGAAAATCGCTGATCGAGCAGGAGCCGGATCGTCCGCGATAGGCGGGTGGGCTCATCGGTCGAGTGTTGGGTGAGCGGCCGGTTTTCGAAAAATGATTGCAGCAGGCGGAGGTAAGAGAGGCAACGAGAACCCACGCGAGAGTTCTTTTGCACGGGTGTTTCCCGTTGAGAGAACGATTTCTGTGGGAAAAACAGCTCGTGGGTCAAATTCGTGTCAGGCGGAGTAGTCATTTTCGCGGAACCGACAGATAAGAGCGGTGTGCTGATAAAAGGCAATTTCGCCAAAACAACTGGGAAAATTGAGTCCGCGACGAACGACAAATAATGGCCCGTCCGATCACAGGAATTAGAGCGACCCATGCGCCAAACCCTCGGCGCAAGACCTCAATATCTTAACGATCTCAGGTTATTGTCTCTTGCAACTGACTGCGCCTAAGCACAGAGCAAGGAGTACTTCGGGCCGAAAAAATGGCAGAATGACATCGGTTGAGGGGTGGTCGGACCATCACGGATGTTGCAACTGTTATCAGTCTTACGAAATCAATATGTCGTGTTTGCTAGTGCTTTCGTTGATTTCAGTAACAACATAGTAATAATAGTAAACGTTGGTGATAGTAATCCATTGTTGACACGGCAGAAAACCAGTCGACAGCTACGAAAACTGGAAATTTTTCAGGACCCAAAAGGAACTCCCCCAAGAACTGATTTACCGTGAGATTAGCGGAAAATCGAAAACGTGCCCGGACATGGCGACTTCATGATGAACAATAACGAAGTATGAAGGAAGAAGAATTGTGGGTTCAAACCTTTCTTGATGCGCCATGCACTCGACATCTACTCAAAGTCACAGAACCATTTGAAAGTGTAACTGGCGCTTTTGCCAATTGGAGACAACTGCATTATTAATACGCGTGCAGGGCATGCTCCAGGCTCAAATGGTGTGGCTTTTGCTCGCGAATATTACAGTGTGGGTGCGAAATAGACCAGTAATAAAGAAAATGAAAAAAATCAGTTTAAGGGCTTACCTGCCTTCGTAGCCGGCTGTGCTAAGGCAATGAGAGACCAAGCGCTTAGAGGAGAGTGCGCGGGGAGAGAGCGCCAGGCCTGATAAAAGAAAAATCTGCAGCTGCTGCATCCCACTTTGCAAGGCCTTAGCGCTCTTGTGGATAATTTCCGTGCACGCGAATGCCACATCTGTGATTGCCCTCCAGGGGCGTCTCCTACAAACCGAAGATATCTGTCCGAGTTGTGCCTTTGGATGCATGATTTTATACCTTCAAGCAAAGTTGCTATCCTGCTCCTAAGAAAGAAGACTTGGGTGACCCTAGCCCAAATCGATCCCACTGTCGGTCCAGGTTGTAACTGCCCACTACAGCCACTGCACCAACTTCGGTCTGTTAAGAAGCGCGAGAGAAACTACTTTCCCAACAATCATTTTGATCAGTGTAGTGTACACCTCTGGAAAGCACTGTGATCTCTGGTTCTTCGTAAGACGTCAATGAACCAGCTGCGAAGTGGGGTTATCTACATATATTCTAACAACTGAGGGAAGAGAAACAGTATGAATGAAACTTGAGTGTAGAACAAGTAAGCATAGAACAGAGCCTGTTACTCCCACGCTACGCAAGCGCTTCTCATGAGAAACGTGTTTTAGTGACAAATAGCATGCCTGCAGAGGATTTCATTACAAGATCTTCGTCAAGATGGTGATGCAAAACTAAATCAAATCAAATGGCGCAGGGTCATCCTCATAGCAGTCGGTGTCCGTCACAGGGCATAAATGGACATAATCCGCGTTGCAACAACCCCGTCGGGATGTCACAACAAAGCACAGAATTGAACTGACTAGGCAGTAATACGATCATTGTCCTCCTGCGTCAATCACCTTATATAATGCAGCTGAAACTCATATTTTATTGAGAGGCGATATATAGAAGGTACCCCTAGAGGGGCACTGACTAAACAAAAAACGTAAAACACTGACTTGTACATCGGCTGGCTTTTTACCCCTCAAGGATACAGCTACTGTCAAGTGGGTGATCAGTAGTCTCCGCTCAGGTAACGTTTTGTTCATTGCTCAGATCTCTTCAACACATCAAAACCCCTCCTCTAGAAACCTAGAAACTTCAAATACCTCCACGAGTTCTAATGAAAGAGAGATGCGTGGCTTCGTAACGGAGACGCCTTGATCGTCGTCGAGTGCTTGATGTTTCGAAGTTCTTCTTTATGTGATCGATTCCCTTTGCAAAAGGTGATGGTGGATGGTGCAGTTACGACACAAGCTAAATACATATAGGTATAAGGTTCAAAAAGTTCTGTCGTTTTCTGACGTT